TCTTTCCCTTTCCATTTTGCGGATCTCTCTGTATCGCACACACTTCCTTGTTACTGGATACACGCCATCCTTTTATCCGACACTTCAACCGAGCACAAAAGCACGAAGACCGCGTTGTCATGGCAACTTGATTTCTGCGCGGACCACCAACTTTAGATGCTATCCTTGCGCGAAAGGACCGTCTTCAGAGAAAAAGTCGGACGAAAGACGCGGACGAAGGTGCCGGGGTCTCGATATCGGCCGGAATTCTCGGCGGAAAGCGAGGTTCTCGAGAAAGGAACTTTTCGAGATTGAGTCGTACAACGTCGTTACAACACATCCCTTCGCGTCCCTTTCGACACTTCCGGGCCTCTATTTTTCTTGCCTTTCCCCTGTGTTTTCCTTTTTCCCTTCCTCTGTTTTTTTTTTTTTTCTCGACCCGAGTCCGACATATCGTATGTACAGGCGCGAAACTTTCGGTAATTTCTGACGAGATGGCTCGTTTAACTCTGTCTCGTTTTTACGCTCCAAGTTGGATTACACGCGCGAATGTTCATTGTACGCGGGAGTTTGGTGTTGAAAATTGGAAAAAAAAGCGGAATTCCGCACCAAAGTACAGCGATGCGAGCATAATAAAATCCGGCGAGGGGAAGGATGATGGTGGAAAGCGCGCGGATTTATACAATGAAATTCATAATTTTTAATTATTTTTTATTTTCACCGGGGATTAATGGATGTTTCTTGAAACTATGTGAAAAAAAGTCAATTATACATTCTAACGCGTGAAATTTGTAACATGATACAATTGCAAAAACATCGTTAAAAAACACATTCTTATGGCATTTTCTGACGATAATATAATCAACAATTATTTCAATCGATATCTAATAATAAGAATGTACAAAAAATGATAATTAAAAGATAGTATGCCCAGAATTTTTGTTACGGGTCATTGTATAAATTTTACAACAATAATGGCGGTTAACTACTTCATAAATATGATTAATACAAAATAAAAATTTTACAGCCGGAATGCAATGTTAAGTACTTCATAAATATACCTGATATGTAGATTAGATGGTCGTAAAATAGTTCAAATAGACTCTCCACTTCGAAATATATCTAGCGTATTAATCAAACAATCGATCTGGTGCAGATGCTTAAAAGAAACTCACCCGCTTAAAGAGAGAACGCTCCATATACTTATATACATAGATAAATTTATATAGATAGAGAGTCGATCTCACGGTCAAGGATATGATCAATTAAGAAAAGCATTTGACCTTTACATTCACGACGCTAGCGATTGACCAATCAGGGACCAAAACTCTCTATGTCCCGATTGGTCAATCCGCGAAGCGCATTTGCGACGACAAGTGGAGCGCACCCTAAGTACGCGCGAATTACTCGCGATCACGTGACCGCATTTTCGTGACCGGTCAGTTCGCGCCGAGCGGTCACCGACGTATAACGTATATTCGACTCGCGATCGCTCCGCGATTTCGTCGTGTCTTTATATCCGTTCCGGACTCGAGTGTTCGGGAATATCGATATTCGAGTAATCATTTTTCACGGTGCATTTTATTTGATCGATCGCGATTAACACTTATCTCGACACTCGTAACCGGTGTAATTCTCGCTTCGCGTTTCGCCGGAAGAGTCCATTTTTTTTTTTACACTCGCCCCTCGGATTATCCGTTCGCATCCGGGATTATTCGCTCGTCGCGAGTATTATTCGATATTCGGAACATCGAGAACTCTGAGGAATCGTCGAAATCGATAGACGAACTCGCTTTTTAAGCTACGATATGCGTATAATTCCGTTTGCACTCTAGTAACCGTTACTCGCGCCGCCATGATTGTCTTCTCGGAAATCACGTAGGTCGGTTGCACGGAGCAAGTCGAGAATCTCGGAGGATCTAACGGGCGGCGGATCGATTACGCGTCCTTTTATCCGTTTCGGGCGAATTTCGCGTACAGACGAATATCGGAATCTAACGGCGAGCGATCATATCGGTGCGTTAATCGATCCGATCGATTGCGATCTTTCGGCTCGCGTTCGTTGGACGAGTCCATTTTTTCACCCCGCGTCTCTTTCTGTCGCGAGTAGTCTATTCGATTCTCGGAACGAGAAGCATCGCGATAAATTAATCGAGACTTTTGACTACGATATTTTCATAATTTCGTTTCAACTGCGATAGGCTTTTCCGGAACTTTACGTCGACCGAGCATGCGTTGTACATCTCTGAGTACCGAAGTATCTACAGGCGACAATTTAATCGATCACGATCGAATGTATCCTTGTGAAATGTGAGAGATAAAGACAAAATCGCATCCCGTTAAAAAATATATACGTACTCTTCGCGAGTGTGACTGAATGCCGAATAGAGTCGAATGTATCCTTGTGAAATGTGAGATAAAGACAAAATCGCATCCCGTTAAAAAATATATACGTACTCTTCGCGAGTGTGACTGAATGCCGAATAGATTTAAGGACGATTGTTTTACTCCGTGATTCAGTCTCTTTTTCGATGTCAATCACGTTTCATCGAATCCGTGTCTATCGGAAAAATTTTGTTTACAAATACGTGAGTGTGTCGCGTCACGAGTGTGATCAAAAAGTGTGAGTGTGCATTGCGAGTGGATTGAGAGGCATGGATAAACATCGAGGGATTGTTTTAATGGATTAATCGAGAACCGGATGGATTAACGGATTACATAATGGATTAATAGCTGTTCACAATATTCGGGTGACTGTGAGTGTTTACATCTATATTAATTTTTATCTTAAAAATTGCTCAATTAAAAAAACAGTGATATAAGTAAAGAATAAAAATTTTTATAATCAACTGACAATTTTTCGACGGACAATTTTTAAGATCACTTTTATCTGTACAAAAAATACAATATTAATATGTTGTTATTTGTATAATTTGTACGTTGATGTAATTGCGATAATAATTTTATGAATTTCCACGTAACGGGGATATAAAAGATATCGCGTGCGTGCTCGGTATACTTCATCAACGTTGAGATAAATTTACGCGTGACGTCAGAATGTCGTACTTGTAACGCGACGTTTGAAATGTCTAAGTGCCACGTGTACGTATCTGCACGGAATAATTTACACCCGCTGGTAAAATGTCACATCGCGTAACGCTGCTGTAACACGATGTTCCGTGTGGGACTGTCTGAATGTTCGCGTAAATCCCGTAGTGTCTAGGATCCAGGATAAAGATATATCGATATATCACAAGCAAATTTTTCAATCCTAAAGATACCTCTGTATTGATCAAATTTCAAATTAAATTTATTCTCGCTCTTTACACGTCAATCTCTGACAATAAATAACATCATGAAATACTCGATATCACAATATTCTTGTGGGTATTTTTTTTAATAATATTATAACCCACAAACACGCAACATAAACTTTTTTTTTTTAAACATATGTCTTCCGTTACTTTGAACGAAGCGTAACAATTGTGATTGTCCTCGAACCTTTCAAAGTCGGTCGCAGGGAAAGATATTAAAATCATCCCCCGGATGATCAATTTACGAAGGTTCCTAAGCAGCTTACCTTGAAACCCTCGTCAACGGGGATGAAGAAGGTAAAACGACCCTCCGCTCTGAAGACAGACTCCTTCTTTTCGATGACAATCCGCTGTCGGAAAGTACTAGAAAAAAAAAGGTTAATTATGACGTAGTGCACGAGACACGCCGACGCTATAATAAGACAAATGAGAAAAGTTCGCGTATTTTTATTTACGTTATTTAAATGATTCTCGGCGCGCCAAGTTTTTGTATTTATATTCAAATCAGGGACTGCATTAATTGATGAACCGGTGTAATAATACTTTAAGAATGACTCGTAGAGCTCTTTGTTCGAGAGGATAATAATAATTAATGTAAAATATTTAAGGAGGAATTGGATAGAACAGCTTACATCAAAAATTAATATATTTCTAGAATAATCTAATACGTTTCAAGATTCATCAGTTTAACATTGAGCAAAAGCACACTTTTAGTCTATTAAAATATAAAATTAATAAGTAATTTGTGAATTAAAGTAATTTGCCCTGTAAAAAACATAATTTAATCTCAAAATTATAAATATCATTTTACATCGAACTAATTTTTTTATAGTGATTGTACCATGATTTTAATCGTACGACATAAAAATTCATGTAAATAAAAATTTTAATTTTACAGGCAAATTTATATTTTAACTCACAAATTAATTACTAATATAATAATATAATAATAATTTTATTAATTTTAAAAAGCTAAAAGAAGTCGAGTGAATCGATGTTACGGAAAACTGTATCGGTGCAACCGATGCGGTTTTCGAACAACGTTCGTAGATCCGATTAATGACGGATGATCGGGCACTGACCTCGAGAAAATCCCTCACGGTAGTGTCGACCACCATAAGCGGTCGTTGTATCAGATGAACGACACCGTTGCGCACCGGGATGTTCGCCTTCACTATCTCTGCCAGCACCACTCCGGTTGGATGATTCGAATCGCCCATTAACGTGTTCGATTGGACGTAGACTGAAAATCGGACTATCAATTAGACATCGAGATACGAACGTGTCATTCGCTATTAAAGCACAAACACGTCCTTTTAGCTGAACGCGATTGTTTTATTATACATGAAACTCTCTCGGGATGATGGGAATAGATTTATCTTAGCAGATAAAAGATCTATCTTTTAACGATAATATCATCTACCTGATTGTATTATATCATTATATAAATAAATAAAAAAAGTAAATTTGCCCCTGAATTAAATCAATAAATCTTAATTATTTCGAATTATTAAGATCCTCAAAGAGTGTTCGAGCGATCATTATTACCTTTATTATGTGCTTTCAGGAAACTGACAGTGACTTTCAGATTGTCGGAAAATACAAGAGTTTTATACTCCGTATTGTCGGGCGTCGGTGCAGTAAATAGGACTTCATTGGGTAGAACGTGCCCGTCGATCACCTGCTTATCAATCTTCTGCGGCCTCGGTTCTGGCTGTAACAGAAAGGATGTCTGCTGAGATTGTCTCTGAAAAGAATCACTATAAAATAAAAAAATATTTAAATTATATAAAATATGAAATTATCATTTTTAAAAGAAATCTCTAACGGTTATGCCATTTTCCTAGATTTTATTTGTACACTTTTCTTATTCGTGTAAAAAAATTATATAATTTAATGTAGGGGGTTAGGTTGGGGAAAAAGAAATCCATTATTTTTACGTGAACTTCAAGACTTTATTTAACATGTTTTGCATTGTCCTCGCCAAGTCGAACGGATCCATAAATCCGGCCGGGAAGACGAAGTGAGACAAACCGATGTCAAGCTCGTGACGCGAACTCTGTGGAAATGAGGACACGAAGAGAGAAGCGAAGATAAACCCTCCGAAGTGTGGAGGAAGCGGAAACGGGCCAGAGAGAGAGAGAGAAAGAGAGAACGGGAGTGCACGTAACGAGTATTTATCCTGCGGCGACGAGCGCGGGTTATATCGGGTCTGTCAGAAACATCTGACGCGCTTTAATAGTAAGTTTATGAAAGAGAGAAAAACATATTTATATATTTGTTTGTATAGATGCTCGCGTGCGCATGTGTATGTATCTAGAAAGGTAATGCACCATGAAATACTCTTCAGCAAGACAGACTTTTCTTTACTTGCAATCTCGGATAAGAGTGTTTCTTCGACTTTATTTATCGCGATAAATTCAATTAAAAACTTATACAAAACGGCAAATCACCGATTATACAAATTTTTATATCATTTTCGTAAAAAAAAAAAAAAAATGAAAATACGGAAAATAATATTTCTTCTTTTTTTTTTTTTTTTTTTTTTTTTTTAAATAAAATTTCACGATCAAAGCCACAGAGACGAGAGATGGAGTAGTTCTTTTTCACGCACTTTGTATAAGCTATTTCACGGGTGTCGAGTCGCGGAAAAGCGAGAAGATGTAGAAACTGTTACTCCCTTTGCGCATCTCCGTCGGGAACGCGGGAAACGCCATCGTTTACTGTCTCGAAAGGGAAAAAGTTCGTGACTAAAACGTTGCCGCCGCTATTTATTCGCTCTCTCCCGCGATCTCGTCCTGACTCTCTTATCTCACGAGGGATATCCCGTTTCTATAGCTGTTTACCTTCCTTCGTCCGGGAAAGAAAAGGAGAATGTAGGATGGAACAAGGGCGTTGGGAAACATAAGCGCCGAAGTTGCAACCTCCCGAGAGATTTCGCCCGCGGAATATCGTTCAAAATATATTTTTATTGCTTCGTATTAATAGAAACATGTACATTTAACACGATTCTATTTATTGTTAATATTTCTTTAATCTTGATTGTTTTGATATTACAGTATGTGTTCTACTATCTTTAATAAATATGATTAAATTTGAGTTGCACAGAAATGGGAAAACGAACTAACTTATTGAAATTCTGAGAAGTTCTATCTCGATGGGCGACGTTAATAATAATTGAATTAACGTAACAGTTTCATTATTAGCATTATTTTCTAACTGCTTCCATAGTTATTGTTAGAGTGCTACGGCAACTGCCTGACGTGATCGCGAGAGTTGAAAATAAATTATAAATATTTTAGAATCGTCAAATATTTTTAGGATAAACGTTTAAAATTTTCAAAAATCTAGGAAGAAAAAATTTATAGATCTGATGTGACTAGCGTTTGTAGAGCGTATAATTAAATATCCGCGTGATCCATCGTGGCCGCGCCGACAGTTTTAATACGAAACATCCATCACGGTGTCTGTAAAGATGAGGGAGGAAAAAAGCTGGTCGTACGGAAAGTTAGCACCTATGAGCTCTCCGAGAGGATAGAGACGGAGAGAAAAAAAGAACGAGAGAGAGAGAGAGAGAGAGAGAGAACGCGCGGGCAATGTGGAAGACCGTATGATAAGAGGAGAAAAAGAAAGACGGAGAACGTGTCCCATTTATCCAACGTAGTCACAGAAAAAGACAGCGACAACGACGGACGACAGCGAGGGGAAAGGCGGGGAAGGGAGGTGGTGATGGTGGTGGTTGGCTAGAAATGAATCGTTTTACTCACCGAGAATGAGAGAGGAAAGCGAAGTTTGTGTTCCTTACGGGATAAGACGAGCCGAGCCAGGAGACGGCCATTTATCTTGCTCCTCGCGGTCGCGAGTCATTCGGGAAAGGAGATCGAACGGGTTCGCGGCAGTAAGAATCCTTAATTTTTCACACGATTACCCTGTACGTCTGATTTTTCGCGTAACAACTAAATATAAGGAAGACGTTAAAATTTGAATACCCTATTACCTTTTAAAAATCGCGATAGTCTCGAGTAACAAGGATCGTAGAATTCCTCGCATCCTGCCACATCACACCTCATTGATATTTCCGCGAACTATCGTTCGATCATATTAATTTCGTCTCCAGCTTCTCTCTTTGTTGCCTCTCAATTTCGCTCGAGCGGCGAGACCGCGACGACGCGGTTGGTCTACCGCGGGTGTATCGTAAAGTTAACGCTAATTAAACTTTACCGATAGTTGCGTCGGACCATTCGCGACCTCTCTAAGAGAGAGAGAGAGAGAGCTCCTTCTTAATCAGCCCGGCTACCAATATTCGCGGTCGTGTATGGTACACGAGGGTGCGAGTTATCATCTCGATGCACAGCAGCCCCCGTGTGCTCGCGCTTATTCCTCCCAGACGCACCGCCGCAAGATAATCACGATTTGCACGCGGTTAACGATGAATCTCACCCATCTTTACAATAAACTCGCGCGAATATGGTCTTGGTTTGAAGCGGAGATTAAAATTTGCGCGAATCTCTCGACGTGTATATTCTAATGGAAAAATATATTGCCACGTGACATATTATGATATTAGAGAATATTATAATTTTGCTTTTATATCGTTACAATTGTTTTTATCGTGGATGATTAATCTCTCTCTTTAAACGTTCTTTTGAGTCATATAATTTAACATTCGGCGTTTGCGTCGCAAATTTTGAAAAAAGTCCTTTAACGAAATACTTACATTTTGTATAAATTTAGGAAAATAATGAACCCTCGGTTTCTCTAGTTGAAACGTTCCTATGTGCTCTTCAATTAGTGCCCGGAAATGTGCAAGAGGAAAACGAAGAATGGCAGGAACAGCATAGCATTTAAGTTTGCAGTTGACGTACGTTAATAATTTTATACGCGCGGCGAGTCACGGCTATTAAGTAATCAAATGCATTCTTTCCGCATGAATATTCAAACCAAGGAGAGAGCGCGAAGATAATTCCATGCAAAGTGGGGAATTCCAAATCCGAATTAGCTCCGCGCGATGCGAGTCATCGCCGGTATAGAAATCGCGCTAATTTTCATCCTCGGCTCCCGGTTTCTTAAGAAAGAGATAAAGTTCCGTACTTCTTTACGAATTATCATCGCGATTTATAGCAAAGAGATGTAAAAAAAAAACGGATGGAGTAAGAATCACGACAATTTTCCGATTTGCAAATGTTATTCTTAATGGAAACTAGAAATTAAGAGGGCTGATATGTTTTTGTAGATCGAAACAAGCATAAATCGATAAACGGAATATCATTAATCTTTAAAACGTGAAATTTTCTGATTATTTTAATCGGTATTCGTTAATCTACAACGAAATCGTGGACGGAAATTGAATCTATTTTCAATCACTCTGAGATTCATTGAATCGAATAGAAGGAGAAAGAAAGATATATGATTGGCTTTCGTGTATGATACAGATATTATTTTTGTCTTATATATCTCTTCTCCGACTTTTATTTGATTTTTTCATCAACTTTTCATCCTACTTTTCACAATGAATAACCGCTTCTTTCATTCATTTTTTTTCTCTTTGTAGTATTTTAGCCTTCTCTTTTTAAATAAAATTCCTTTTATTCTTTCACCACGAAAATTATTTTAATATTATTAACAGGTATTAATATTATTTTTCTTCTCGTCGTGGACTATTTCAAATGTTTGTGTTTACATTAATATCTCGGATTTGTTTCACTTAAAAAAAAAATTATTTAAAAAGAAAATTAAACGAGAGATTTTTATTTCCTCGTAAAAGAAATTTTGCAGTTAAGTAATTCACGATTTTTCGTTCCTTATACCAAACAACATCTTTTACTTAAAACATATTCAAGATCAATCATGTTCAAGATTGCCTCCGTTATTTTAATACACATTTTTATGTCTTTGCAATTGGTCTATTCTTTCTCTCTTGACGGCAACATGAACTTTCCAGCCAAGTGACTACCATCTTTATTTCGCGTAAAATCCGATACGAAACGCGGCTTCGACCCACCACCTCTCGCGCTTTACTCCATCCCGCCATCCGCGAAAAACTTCATCCCTTTCTCGCAACTATTCCGCCGAGCGCCTCTCGCGGTGGCTGATTTTCAATTCTCCTCTTCGCGGACAAACCGCTTGCACCACCGGCTTCCCGGTGCACTCGAGCATCCCCGGCGTTCCTGCCCTCTCTTTTTCTCTTCTTCTCACAGCAACCCTTTCCGTCGTTCCACCCTGGCATTTTTCCCCTCCATTAACCGTAACTCTTTAGGCGATTCTGCCGGCGTTGGTGTAGTTATTCGGACTGGAATTTCTTTAGATTGTTGGAAAACAGAAGCGCAAGGGACTTGCTCGAGGGGGTGGCCGCGTTCCAGGAACGTATAATGAAATCAAAATCCCCACCGTCTTTTGAGATTAAAAACATCATCTCTCTCTCTCCACCTTTCTCTCTCTGTCTTTCGCTTTCTCGCTCTCCGCGTTACAGGATGCATCTCCTTCTTTTTGCTGCGCGCGATACGACGAACTTCACTAAAATTAGAGCTAAACTCGTTGCAATCTGTGAGTCTTCTGTTTTGTCAGATTATCAAATAAGTTTACGAATTAAATAAGACGACGTTATAGGATGAAACGGTCTTTGCATCTCAGGGGGAAAGGATTTGTTAACGAGATTTGATGCCGAGACTGCGGGGGTGACTTCCCTGTGCTTATAAGTCAAATAAAATATCATTTGATCGACAGGAAATAATATATATTGTATCTTCCGGGGATAGGGTGGGGAGCGACAACAAATCTCAGAGTATAAAAAATCCCAAATTGGATTGAAACCTCTCGAATTTCTCGTACTTACGAGTAGACTGATGTAATAAAAGCAACCATAAATCTGGGGATGCAGAGCCTCCCTCTTCTCACATTTTCCCCTTTTATTTCAACTTCCCGCACGATCTGTCAGGAAATCGAAACTCGGAGGAAGATCTAAGATGTCATAAAATTCATATATCTTAGGAAAATTGCGCGAGGAAGAAATACGTCAGCCAAATTTTTATGAATATCGCTATGAATTAAAATTAGCCCGTAACGTATCATAAATGCTGATAATCGGAGAGATATAGGACAGAAATAATATATTTTAGAATTAAATTGCTCGAGAATAATAGTCTAAATTAAAAAATGCCAGTCACGTTTCACGATGAAGTATTAAGTACGATGCATAAGGGATAAGAGACGAAATTAACCATATAAATTATTTACGATCGACTTAAAATGTAGTGCATCGTTTCGTACTATATTTCTAATCCGGCGTATCGTAAATACGATGTGTCCATAATCATAAAGTGCCGGAACGGACAGTTACGAGAGCGCCATTCGCTGAATTGCAACGCGATCGGCAAACTATCGGTTTCTATCAACGAATGGAATGTTTGCGTGAGAATACGCGATATCACAGGGAGGAGAATACACCGTGAGTTTGTCGAGCACAAATTGGGAAGACACTCGACACGCATACATATGCACACATATTATGCCAATATCGAGCGATTCCTCGTCGCGCGCGTACGCCGGTGAAGAGCGCATCACGATATGTAAGGGATAAAGTTTCACTATCGGGGCGGAATATTTCTCTCTCCTTTTCTCTATCGAACACAAGATCCTTTGCTCCCGTCTGAGACGCCGCGAATAATGGAATACGTATGTCTATCGGATGTACGTAAGGGGACAATGCGCATAAATCCATTCTCAAGTTGATAGATATGCAATGTGCTCACGAAACGCGGCACCGACTGAAAACGGATCGCTGACCCGTTCTATTGTTGAGAAGCAGCTTCTATTATAGTCACATACGCGAGAAATATGTTTGCAACATTTTTGATTCGTGAATCCGCTCTACGAAATCAAAATAGCGCACACAATTCTTTTCTGAAACCGGATATTAATAATTAGGAGAGCTAGAGATAAAAGTATTAATAATAATCGCGGCAATAACAATTAATGTAATGATAATAGTAATTTCTTAAAAATAATACTGATTATAGTAATTTCGAGTTTTTATAAAATTAGATATTCTCAATTAAAACAGCTGTGGAGAAGAAGATATAATAAGTTACGGAAAATATACATATCTCTCAATAATAACAATATATATAATTCTGAGAATAAACTATTCTTAAACGATTAAGAAAACTGTATGGAAAATTATTTTTTTAAATATGCATCTTTATTTGTATTTTATATATATGTATTCTTTATATTTTTTTTAACAGAATTATTACTTATTTGTCAAGTTTTGATATTCTAATCATTGCTGTTATCGATTGCCAATATTTCACTTCGTCTAGCTCTTCCTATCAATCATGCATTATTGAATCAATACTGTGCAATTAATAATTACGGATGATTAATGTAAGTTATTCCAGCCGATCGTGAGTCCCCAGTCGATTGCTAATTAGCGCAATTGTCATTATTAATGATAATGTTATACAATCAATCATTATCACTAATTCTCGCGTAATGTACAACATGAAAATTATAGTTTTTGCGTCAAATTTGCGAGACAATATTTCAACTGTTATTCACAGGTATCCTTGCTGTGATATTTGTGTGTCATATAAATGCATTAACACATATAAAGTAACTTTAATTGTATTCCATTTATATTAAATCTTATATAACAAGCTACATAATTGTCTTTTAAAAATAAAATGTATATTGTATATCTATTACCATTTAATATTTTTATTTTTTCAAAATAATAAATTACAAATATGTTTGATTTTTTTTATTTAATTTAATGCGTATAACGATTCTTGTAAAAATGGAGAAAAGTCTTAATTCAAACTCATAATTATTAAAAACATGAAGCGAAAGACGCGATTTATGAGTCGATATTTTCATGCTCTGGTAACGAGCAAGAAGTAGCTGAGGCAATGGAACTTCCGGGTTAAGTGGATGAGAAAAGTTTCCCTAATATTACCGGCAAGAGAGAGATTGATCTGCAGCCGAGCTTGTCGAAGGGATTAGTCGTAGCCATGGCTAGTCCCGTGCGATTTTCATCAGGTGATGGTACTTTAACTATAGATTAAAGGATTCGTCTGGCAAGCTGAAATGAGATCTACCTTCCCTATGAGACCGAAAACCCAAATCAGCCGAGAGAAGGAGGGGGGGGGGAGATACGTTGAAAGGGAAATACGCTATCGAGATGACAAATTTACGGGTATTTGGAAAAGATTCCACCTTGATAGAGTCCCCCGTGAACGAATCTACTTGGCAGCATTTGCGCAAAATGCTACACGATACAACGAATTGCTTCGAATATCTTTTCAAGAAACGAATTTATTTTGCATGACTCTGTAAGAATCCGTAAGCCTTATAGCACACAAATTTAGCATTTCTTACGAAATTATATATTTTTGAATTAATTATGTATTTTTATGTATAATCGTGAGGTCTTCGCTTAATCGGCAAAAGACACAATAAAGGGGAGGGACACAAATTTTCCGGTAATTCTCGACTAGCTTACGATTCGGGGCGCTGATTATTATAAATCGCATGCGTTAACATCGGATTTAATTTACAAGAAGCTGTGAGAGCTCCATCGATAACCGACAAGCTGATGACTCTCGCGAGAATGCGAATGCCAGGAAGCGCCGTTCGACATTATCGAAACCCGCGATTCCATCAACCTAATGGTCTCGCGGCTAAGGCGAACGTGTAAAGCTCATTAAAAGCTCGTTAGAAAGCCGCCACCGGCATGCCGGCCGGGACGTTCGAAGTAACGTGGACGTTGTTGCCGGGAAATCGGTCAGAAAAGTGATGCTTGAATGCAAGGGAAATGAAAGTTCTACTCGCGATTTACGCGACGCTAAAAATCCCTCGACTTTCTCTCGTCAAACAAACATACGCTTGCACGTTTTATGCAACAGTAGTAAAATTTTTAAAAACGCATTTTCACGTAAATTTTTTATAAGATTTATTCCATCATATAATACTTATGCAAACATTTTTTGGGGCATTTTTCAATATTTCTCCAATCCATGTAAAAACAATAAATTGGCGTGTTTAGGAATAATTATTAATATTTTTTTATAAATACTGAAATATATAAGCGAGAGTAATACTAAAATCAAGTAAAGTACTGAAATAAAAATATAGTGATTTTTTTCTGTCGTAAACTTTTTACTTACCTGAATCATGGTGTCGCCGTTGACTTTCAATTTGGATTGGAAGTTGCTCTGTTCCAAGAGAATCTTTGCGTTATTAATGTACACGTCCGCGGTGTACTTTCCTGGTGTTCTAGTGATCCATAGGGGTGGATTGCCCTCCAGTTCGGAAGATATCGAGTCCCTCAGCTCTTCGATCGTTAGAGGCCGGTTCGCTACAACCGACAAGGAAAATATCTTGTTAATACTTTGCTCCATAAAATGTTAAAATGTTTCTTTTCATCGATGCACGGATGAATACGCTTCAATAGAGTTACTTTACTTCTCGCCAAATAAAACCGCGAAGATTGCGATTTACTTCTTCGAGAACCGCAAAGTTTTTTAGTTTTCAGGAAGATTTTTATTCTCGGTAAAAAAGAATAATGCGGAAAAAGATAGAGAAAAAAGGGAGAAAGAGAGAGAAAAACACACGAAGAAAAATGCTAAAAATAACGTAAATGGCGAATGGGATAGAAACTGGAGATAGAGCAAACTTCAAAAAGTCCACGGAAAAGCTACAATGCTCGTCGCTTTATTATCCCATTACCGAGAGAACGTCCTCGTAATCTTGAGGTTTTTTCCTCTTACGCGAGCATATAGTAAGAAGCGGAGAGCAGAAACGTCCTTGCTATTATTATTTGATATCGCGAGAAAGACGCAGTTATGATACAAATTTATAGAGCTGAATATTTGACTAAAATTCGCAAAACAGTAAAATATTTTTTTAGATTCTTAAATTTCCTTGGATATTTAAACTTTTGCATTTTTTCATTCATATTTTTACAATAGAATCTATAAATTTTTTGATGTCACATTAATTCTAAATATAATTTTCTTTAGATGTCTTATATTAAAAAATAATTTCCCGGATATACATTATTTTATAAGAGATAGGCCTCGAGATAGATGAAACCGATAAAATTAATTATCTACAAATCTACAGTTAGATAATTTTAATTGCATTTTAATATAAAAATGCCAATTAAGTTAATCTCTCATCACAGCATTTAAAATTTTTACTTTCTTCTAACGACCAAACCAAATTAGAATTAAAATCTCGATTAAAATTTCTGATTTTTCTCCCTTTAGTCTTAGCAGAATTAGAATATCTTCGTATGTTTTTTTCGACTACGATCTATCGAATTTCGCGACAAAAGCGGCATTAGTAGTTTCTAAGAACAGCTTGCTCACACACAAGCGACCGCGACTACCGTGCAAGCTCGGAAAGCCCAATCTCCGCGAGGAAGAAAGCGAGCTGTCCGTTGTACCGACAACAATGACGCTCATTACGAACGCTGGGAATTGAGTCGCGTTTCGTAAACTACCGGTCGTTTTACCCATAAAAGTTTCCGGGACAAGAAGCGGTCGGCGCCATAGAATTTCGTTTTCTCGGCAGCACCGACGACGATTCGGACGCGACGTCCTTGCGGGAAATAATTTTCCTCGTCCGCGAGCTTCCCGCAAAATTGCATTGCGGGCAGAATATATCGCGTTTATCCGCGTGGACTGGAAATATTTTTCGCCCTCAACATTCGAATCAAAGAGGAGACAGTTGCGGTTAAACTTTCGGCTCTTTTATTCCTTTCAATTTTCATCTTCTTGATTACTTTCAGGCATTTTTTCTTTCTTTTTTTTTTTTTTAATTTTTGACGCACGCACGAACAATCGTTCGCACGTAGACGGGAAGGTAAGAAAACTGTCTTTAATATACGTAACTATGTCGGCGGTGATTCGCACGCAGAGAACTTTGACGATCCGCCGACGCGTGCGTACGCACCACTAAAGCTTACGATAATCGTAAAATTTATGATCCGCCGCGATATACATATATACATAGTTCTAAACTCGAACGATTTACGATATCGGAAAAAGTCGCTCATCGCAGTGCGGAGGATAACATTTATGACGGCAGTTTGAAACATAAAACTTTAAACCAGTTGTCTTTTATGCGCCGTTCTCAAACATTTTCCGTGATATACACAACAATTGCGCGATATAAAAAATAAGCGTTGTTGATCGGTTGGAAACGAAAACTTATTAAAAAAAAAATGGCTCGATAATATATATATATATATATCACTTTGATAAACTTTAATATAATGATAACTGTCATAAAAAACAATTTATATATACTTGAACAATTTTTTCGAGCTACATCGTATTAAGATAAATTTTTTTCGATACGTTGTTCTTTTGGCGTAAAGTGACTTCTGGCTTATCCTGTACGTACAAGCTTGGAGAAGCTCACCGTTCGAGGAACCCATCAAGCCACGCCATATACTACACGCTTTTATATTTCCGTGACGCATCGTCAATCACCCTAGAATGGTTGCATGCATGATCTTTCTTTCGCTGAAAAGCTTCAGAACGGGATATGCGAAGAGCGCATATAAAATGTATCAGAGTTTCAATATATTACGAAATACCGCGCATATGAATTTGGATGCAAGCTGCATTCATTCTGCAATTATTTCGAATGTGTCAATATTTTTATGAAAGAATTCAATATTTTAAAAATTGTTTAATTTTTTTATTATAGATTATTGCAAAATATTGTTCTATCAATAATTAGTTACAAAATTTTTTTTTAGATTTTTATTATTTTATATAAAATATATAAAAATTATATACATAAATATGTACTTTCCGGAAAATTTAGCTTGCATTGGGAAATTTTTTAATATTTATTATTAAATATTAAAATTTAATTAAATATTTATCTTGGGTACATATACTTTATTCGGAGGCAAAATTTTTTTCGGATCGCCAAGATTCAGCTGTAATTCAGCATAGAAATGCAAAACACGTTCGAACATTGGTTAAGCGCCGATGAACAGCGATCGTATTATCGATCGAACCGGTTTATCGCGAATTGACGAACGAAGCTTTATTCGTGTGCCGGCTGTGAATTTTTATAGCGCGTCTCTCTCCGTCGAAGCGCATTTTTCTTGTTACGCCAGAGAGTGCTTTATGCGACGTGATCGAGTCGCGGGAACGATCGTATGCCTCTCAGAGGGTAATATCTCCAAGCTCGGGGGCTCGCGAGCGTTTTGTCCCAGCAGCCGAGCCTTTTCGCCCTTTCAACGAGGCGAGGCGACCGAATGATTAAGCTGCCGATCGATTCGCATTTATTTTCTTCCCTTTCCCTGTGAACCCCACCTGTCCGCCCGTCGCAGTGGCGGATGCGGGGCACAGGTGCTACGGCCGACCACAAAACGAGAACAACCCGCGCAAAGCTGCTTGCGCATCGATTTATATCCCCCATTCTCCCTTATCCGCAGCATCCACCTCGCGCGAGCGCGACGTCTCTACTCGTCTCTTCTGTCCGTTTTCGACGTATCCGAAATCCGACTTTCAAACATGCACGTGGGTTTTGCTTGATGAGGACGAACTGCGCGTTGCTTTATTCGGACTATGATAGATGGTTTCACGCGGTAGATATATATTTTATAGATAGATATTTTTTTATACTTCATAGAGAAAAAAAATTCTTTTATGTATAATATATAACAAAGATAACAGAAATTAAAAACGTTATAAATCGGGGGATTTGTATAGAGGAGCATCCATATAAATAAGTAAGCGTATGATTAGAGGAAATTTAAAAAAAAAATATAATATTAATTAAAGATTATTATCTTATTAAAATAAGACCATGAAATCTTTTTTTTTTAGAAATTTCTTAAATTTTAAAATTACTGAATCTCAATTCTTTGATCTTATAAACCTAAATTTATAAAATCTGGGATATAACTTCGAATTTTGAAATAAAATTGCAATATCTTTTTCTCGGCTATTATAATATAGTTTTTTTATAGAGCATATATCTGTATATCACGTGGAAACATATCAAGTTTTATATTTTGATAAAATACATTTATATGCATTTATGATATTCTATCCATATCTGAATAAAAAAAAAAAAAAATATTTCAGGACTATAACAGATGTCCTAACGTCAGAGTCTAACTCTAACAGATGCTATCATATGGCGCCAGCTAGCGGTACAAGGCTCGTTTAATGCCAGCTGACGCGTTCGGTTGCAGTCGTTTGCGCGTGGTCGCGTAGTGTGTTTCATAGTGAATGATTCGTTCCTCTTATCTACGCTACTCGAGGTATATATTTAAGACATACATATATTCGGCAGCTCGGTATCAGCGCCGGTTGCAAAATGGAGAACGTTTCCGTGTCCAAGGTAAGTGACACGACACATACAACCTGTTGCTATTACCTGCTTAACCTCAAAATGCGAAGTCAACGCGCGAAAATGATGCTGTGAATAATGATTCATATATTACCATCCCCTTTGCCTTAAAAGTTTAGTGAAAATCGTTAACGTCTTTGTTGAAACCTTTTTCTTTTGTATATGTATGTGTAAAACCATTTTCATCTATATTATTAAAAGATTATTTTATAAATCTTTTTAAACTGGATTTATTACTTTTTTAATAGCTTATATATAGTATAAAAAGTTGACAAAAAATTAATTGTATTTGTTTAATATTAATATTTGTTTGACATGTAAAATTTGTATGTATATTTTGCATTAGACATCAATGTAATTACATTACACATTATACATCAATATAATTGCATATTACACATCAATGTAATTACACACATTACATATTAACATTAGCTTTTACAATAATTTCGTTTATATTTGTAATTTGTGATCATTTGTTAACCTGTTATCTTTAACACGCGGACATATATATCTCCCAGATTAATTGCTAAAGTGAGCCAATGCTGCAAACATATAAATAAGCAATTAATTTTACAAATAATAAATTAACAAAATTATATATTACTCATTTCATGACTGCTCCACCGTCATTTCTCCGGACATTCTCCTTCTCTATTTTTTGTTGTTCCATATTGATACTATGTTAACTTGAGACTAGTTGAGATGTAATAATCGGGGAAGTTAATTAATTGCGCAGACTAACAATCGCTGTTAGCAGGGAATAATCGCGTTTGGCATCTCTTAGTACTTGTTACGATCGTGTCTGGAGAGATAATACGATGTTTCCTTCGAGTCACGCCGTGCGAATAACAACACTATTGTATATAAACAACACAGCATTATATACGAATTTTCTCTCAGGATGTATTTAATACGTATAGTCATTATTGATTATTGAGTATCTTAATATTTATCAACCGTTTATACCAT